AATACATTACATTGTAATCACAATACATTACATTGTAATCACAACACATTACATTGTAATCACAATACATTACATTGTAATCACAATACATTACACTGTAATCATAATACATTGTAATCACAACATATTACATTGTGACCACAATACATTACATTGAAATCACAATACATTACAACCACAATACATTACATTGTAATCACAATACATTGTAATCACAATACATTACATTGTAATCACAACACATTACATTGTAATCACAATATATTACATTGTAATTACAACACATTACATTGTAATCACAATACAATACATTGTAATCACAACACATTACATTGTAATCACAATACATTACAACCACAATACATTGTAATCACAATACATTACATTGTAATCACAATACATTACAACCACAATACATTACATTGTGATCACAATACATTACATTGTGATCACAATACATTACAACCACAATACATTACATTGTAATCACAATACATTACATTGTAATCACAATACATTACATTGTAATCACAACACATTGCATTGTAATAACAATACAATACATTGTAATCAGAATACATTTACAACCACAATACATTACATTGTGATTACAACACATTACATTGTTATCACAATGCAATACATTGTAATCACAATACATTACAACCACAATACATTACATTGTAATCACAATACATTACAACCACAATACATTACATTGTAATCACAATACTTTACAACCACAATACATTACATTGTGATCACAATACATTACAACCACAATACATTACATTGTAATCACAATACATTACATTGTAATCACAATACATTACATTGTAATCACAACACATTGCATTGTAATAACAATACAATACATTGTAATCAGAATACATTTACAACCACAATACATTACATTGTGATTACAACACATTACATTGTTATCACAATGCAATACATTGTAATCACAATACATTACATTGTAATCACAATACATTACAACCACAATACATTACATTGTAATCACAATACTTTACAACCACAATACATTACATTGTAATCACAATACATTACAATCCCAATACATTACCTTGTAATCGCAATACATTACATTGTAATCACAATACATTACAGCCACAATACATTACATCGTAATCACAACACATTACATTGTAATCACAATATATTACATTGTAATTACAACACATTACATTGTAATCACAATACATTACAACCACAATACAATACATTGTAATCACAACACAATACATAACGTAATGACAACACAACACATAACGTAATCACAACACAAAACATTACATTGTAACAATACAAAACATTATCTTGTAATCATAAAAACATTAACTTGTAATCACAATACATTACATTGTGATCACAATACATTACATTGTAATCACAATACATTACAACCACAAAACATTACATTGTGATCACAATACATTACATTGTGATCACAATACATTACAACCACAATACATTACATGGTAATCACAATACATTACATTGTAATCACAATACATTACATTGTAATCACAACACATTGCATTGTAATAACAATACAATACATTGTAATCACAACACATTACATTGTAATCAGAATACATTTACAACCATAATACATTACATTGTGATGACAACACATTACATTGTTATCACAATACAATACATTGTAATCACAATACATTACATTGTAATCACAATACATTACAGCCACAATACATTACATTGTAATCACAATACATTACAACCACAAAACATTACATTGTGATCACAATACATTACATTGTAATCACAATACTTTACAACCACAATACATTACATTGTAATCACAATACATTACAACCACAATACATTACATTGTGAT